ACCCGTTACTAGCGTGGTGTACCTAATAAAGTGGCCGGTGAGTGTATATCTGCTCCATTCACTAAAAATAAAATAAATCCCAAACAAGTCCACTGTCAGCATACAGAAAAAAAGAACCCCCTGAACTCAAAAATACAAACAGAACATCACCTTTAATCAGAAATATAATGCTTCAACATCATTTTCTCTTGCATTTTTCTCTTTTTATTTGAATTATTTCTGCGTTTTTCTTATGTCGATCCTTTAGGATTCAGTCAAACCTGTTTCTGTTCTTTTGCTTTTGTTCAGGTCTGTCTGGCATCGTTCCAAAGTGCAAAAAGGAAGCAAATGTTTCTTATTACAGGGGATTTATTGGAATTTGACTTCCTGAATCCGAATCATTAGATAAACCGACTTCAGTGTTGTAACCAAAAGAGCAGCCACAGTATGCATGCATTATAATCAAGACAATATTTTCTACAGATGAAAATGCTGCTGCACTCTTTTACATTTATTCAGTAGGTTTTTATTTGTTGTAAAACCAAACAGATTTGTTTTATTTTGAAAATCTAATCTTATTTCCAAGGATTATATTTTTTCTGTTTAATAGGTTAAGTAATCCAATAATCTGGGGGATGATGGAGACATTCATAAATAAACCAGTAAAYATTACAGCCATTAGAAAACCCATCATGTGACGGTGATGTCATCAGTCAGAGGTTGTTTAAGTAGAGGATGCATGACTTCATTCACGTGGGTCACACTGAATGTTTCCTGTCTCGCGTGTCTCCCTGAGCGACATGTTTAGAAGCGAGTATTAAGTAATCTGTAAAAATGCAGAATCATTCTTTATTTCTTTATATTCTCCTAACATCAGGGCAGATTTTCTTCTAACCTTGAAGTGATCTTAAGGAATAATTCTTAAGGTTATAGGAGCTTTCAGTCCAGAATTGGGTCATTTATAAACAAGTATTTGTTTGTTTGTTTGAAAAGTCACTTAACTCTGACTTCTGAATCAACTCTAGGATGTAACTGAGCTGCATCAAACATGGTTTGTGAGAAAGTTTCCAAAATGTGTGGAAACATTCCTGAGGGTTCTCAAAGCCCTGCCGTTAGTCACAATCCTTCACTCCAATGTTGTAGGATTTTTTAACATGCTTGAAAGATTTGCAAGCTTAGAACTTGTTTCAAAACTTTTGGCTTCTCTAATAATATTTTTTGGCAGTATGTATAGTTTCTTCCAATTCATTTAGTTAAAAATAAATATTCCACTGATAATACAGTTTGACTAAAAGAAAATGACATTTTAGCTCAAATAAGGTGATTAACAACAAAATGTTAGAGTTGAGAGTTATTTAATCAGCTGAAAGATGATGGATATTGTACTCAATAATATAATAATAATAATATATAAAATAAATATAATAAAACAACAACACTTTTGAAATGTTTGTTTTATTTTAAATCATGACCCTAACTTCAGTTTTTGTCTGTGGTTTCAGGTCCATTATCCAGATGTGGAGAGAGTTGAGTGGCTCAATAAGGCACACACACACACACACACACACACACACACGCACCTGCTAACACAAAAACTCGCCCACCGCTCCACATCACCTGCAGCAGCTCGTCAGAGAGGCAGGCAGGCCGGATTTATAAATAGGAGCTGAATCTGGAGCTCAGAGAGACTTTGTCCCCG